TGGTAGCCATTAACGGTACGTATTTAATACTTTAGCTATTAAAATGATAATTATGATGATGAAGATAATAATAATGGTGAAGAAAATGATAAAGAATATAATTATAATGAGAATGAAGATAATAATAATGATAACGATAATAATAATGATAATGGGGATAATGATAGTGACAATGATAACCATAATCCTTTTTAGACCAATCTCACTTCTTAATTATGATATCAAGATTGCTACATCGGTGCTAAAACTCCATTGGGTAATTTCAAGGTTAATTTCTAATGATCAAGTAGGGCAGGGCTTCCCAAATTCTGGACTGCCGGAGGAGGGGAAGAGGGGTTTTAACTTAAAATGGGCGGGGGCAGAATCCACCCTGCCCTATCTTTGTCGTACCAAATGTATATATTTTCGACCAAAGGGGTATCATGGGTGCTGCAAAGTGTGATCAATCGCTGTTAATTATTATTTAATCAAAAATATTTGAGACATAGATACGAAAATTAATGGACTGAGGTGTCATATGAAATGGGCAGAAACTCGGCTTTCTAGAAATGTGATTTTCTCCTTGAAATTCAGATACCGTCCGCTGAATTACTTTTTGGTTTCCTCTCTTCGAATTCATTTTACTCACTCATGCGTGAAATATGCATCATATGAGTTGCATCAAATGAAAGAGGAGGATCTAAGCTTTCCAAATATGTGTCACTATTGCTTATAAATGTGACTAAGTTATGATAAAACATCGACAATTCTCGGTTTCGTTTTTTTCTGGGGCGCACTGTATATAGATCAGTCCAATAGATGCATCCTATGATCCTATCGAAATCAGCAAGGGGCATTATTTGGATCCGTCGTTGAAGATGTGATCTAAATTAAACCCTGTGTCAGTCATGTCTTTTACAATATAAGTGCTCCTCCAATTAAAATTTTAAACAAAACTTATACAGTTGTTGTTATTTATTTTCATAATTTTGCTTGTGCTTATCAAGGTTTGACGCCTAACATCAAATGCTGTCACTGCCAGAATAGGACCAGTATCCCCTCCACGGGCTTCAACGACCCAACGCAGAACTACAGGCTCAAGTGCCTCCTCGAGGAGCGGGCTGCTATCACGAAGAAAATTGAAGCTTTGTTTGCCGAACAGGCCTCTGCCACTTCGAGACAGCAACAGGGAACCGCTAAGGCAAAGGAAACACTGCAGATCTTTGTGCGTGTCGAGCGATTCAAGTCAAAACAGACATGTCATACTCTCAACGTTCGCATGTCAGACACGTTAGACTCCCTCAAGCGACAGATAGAGAAGGATATCGGCATCCTATCCGATTTACAAGGTCTGTATTGGGCGGGCAGGCAGCTGCATTCAGGCTCAGAAACTCTTGAGGAAATTGGCATAAGGAAAGAGTGTACCCTCTGGCTTAAACTTCGTCTCTTAGGAGGAAACGATACCCAATAAATTGCATTGTCTTAAACTTCCCAGCATGTCGTGAAGTGAATAGGTATATATATTTATAGCCCTTATCGTAAGATTGTTGCATTAGGAGTGTACACAACAAGAAAATGAATAGTTTTACTATAAAAGACGTTTCCTGCCGCCTACATCGAAATAGTACCTTTTTATTGATGACGTCACGCATAGTACCTTTTTTTCCCTAGGGAAAAAAAGGTACTATGCGTGACGTCACAATAAAAAAAAACGCAGATTCTTGAACTATGCGTTTTCCCAGCGAGCGCGTACATGATTTCAAATGCCTCTGCGCGGTCAATCCCCGCGGTGTCACGGCGCTCAAGCCATATGCAATTTACGCTGTGCGATAACTGCATTAAACTAGCGCCAGCTAAACATTTTTACATCCTTCAATGTTTCATTTGAGCCGTGCAATTTTCTTTATTTCTTTTCGATCTGAATGTAGATGTGAATGTGAGTATAAGGTTCATGTTATTACAGAAGTGTACAAGGAATAATACAGATGGAAGGGATATAAAACAAATATACAATGACTCATTCTCGGAACAAGCTAAAACTATTCGCACTCAGGAACATCATTAGTACTTTTCTCCCTCGGGCCGATGGCCCTCGGGAGAATAGTACTAGTTGATGTTCCTTCGATGCGAATAGTTTCAGCTAGATCCTCGAGTGTCATTGTATATTTGTATAATATGTATATATATATAAGTTTATAACATTAAAAAATGATTGTGTAATGCATAATTGCTAAATGATGTAATCTTTATTGTTCGAATTTTCGAAACGCAGCTCATATCTTTGTCAGGGAGGTAATACATAAACTGAATTATTACAAATATCAAGTTGTTTTGTAATATATTTTGTCAATTCATAACATTCCTATGTTGTCAAAACTATGATTATGCTCAGTAGTTGGCAATAGTGCATCATATAGTCGTCATTTTTATTTTCCCTATTTCTCCAAAAAGTAGACATTAACCGATATATATATATATATAAATACTGCAAGCATAAAGACACGCATGCAGAATAAAAGAGTGGACACTATTTTTAGTTCCGATTTTCAAATAACTATTCAATATAAACTTGTCTTTCACGTATCAAAATATGAGTCTCGAAAGAAAATAGAAAAAATAGAGCATCTGGCCATTCAAATGTTGATGAGCATTGGAGGTATCCTCTGGCTTATTCACAATCTTAGGTGGAAAGGAGAGGCATCTTGACCATGCTTGTCAAAATCATGCAGCCTGAGAATATAATTGACATCCAGAATTCAATCATCTTCATTATTTCGCATTTTCAGCTATGTAGGTCTACTGAAAACAAATTTAGCAACGTCGACAATGAGAGTCGTCTACTTTAAAAAATAACACCCCAAACTTTTACAGTTCAATCCAATATTTGATAACATTTCAAAAGAGTGATCCAGAGGAAAATTGGATAGGAGACAAAAGATTGATTCCTAAGGTAACTAAAAACAAACGCTTACACTCGCTTCATATTGCTTACGCCCCTTCCATTCTCCATTCCCAGTACCCCCACTTAAGTGAATTTTCTGTTTGTTTTGATGTGTGTTGTGATTACTGGTATTTATAGGTTTGCCCTTAGGAACCGGTGCTGGGTCTTATTTACTGTTTCGTATTTAATTTCTTTCATTAGGTTAGCTGTTCAAAGTCATATTCGCACAAAAGCTGGTAAAATGTGTACAATGGTTTTTTTTTTTTGTGTCGATATGTTGTGTAATGTTTGTAAATAATTTTCCTTTATAAAGGTCTGCATATTGAGTTAGACGAGAAAATAGTATACATATTTTCCTGGGAGGGGGAGTTTTTCATTGTTCTAGTTCTTACATAAATAGCCATGGTATTCAGCTTCAATATACTTTACTTGAGTTCATTGTGCATTGTAATTTGTAGATATTTTTAAGACTATGGGTACAACAGTACTAGGGCCTCGGATATGACAATAGGGACTTTTAGATTTGCGTGGACTGATACGTGTGACGTCCATTCAAGGTTTGGTATTTCAATTCTTTTGTAAGGCCAACTGTTCAAAGTCCAATTCGCGAAAAGCTGGTAAACATAATATGCAGTGTAGCTTTCTTTGTGTCGTTACGTTGTATAAAGTTGTTAATAATTTTACATTCAGGGTATATAGGTCTACATTTGAATTCAGTTAGACGGGAAGGTAGGTATTTTCCTGGTAGGAGGGGGGAGTCTTTCGTTGTTGTAGTTCTTATTTGAAGAGCTATGGTATTCAGCTTCAACGTACGTCACTTGGGTTCATTGGGCGTTGTAATTTTTAGGAATTTCTATGGGCACAACGAGGGTATGGGAATAATTGGTAAACCACCCAGATCCACACCCACACACCCTGATAAATGCATATTTATATGGCAACAACTTTTTAAACGACCCGTAAATTATCAATTGAATCACATAATAAATTTAGTTTATCATTTTAATTCCTGAAGATGTTCTTATATATATGTCTACTTTCTTTTATTTGTTCAATTATTTAGTTTATCATTTTAATTACTGAAGATATTCCTATATATGCCTCCTTTCTTGTCTTTTCTTATGTTATTATTATTTTTTTTTAATGTGAGGAGAAAAGTATTTAACGGCAAAATGCAACGAATAGCTCGTTCTCATGTAAGTAAATTAGTGCCGCCCCCTAATCTTTGGGCAAAGAAAAAGAACACTAATACAGAAAGAAAGATAGACTAGAGAGAGAGAGAAAGAGAGAGAGAGAGAGAAAGAGAGAGAGACAGAAAGAGAGGAGGCGAGGGAGAGAGAGAGAGAGAGAGAGAGAGAGAAGAGAGACGGAAATGGGCAAGGGTACACGAAAAATATTCTGACCATCTTCCTGAACCCTCCCCTTAGTTTGCTACTTCGCGTATAGAACTATTCATCCCATACCCGCTGGCCTCAATAATAGCAGCGTCCCTCAGATCTCAAGAGATGAGCTCGCTACGCCAGTAAAGAAATATGTGTTGGCATCTCTGTACTCTTTCTCTATCGCTTTCCGAGGAAGAAAGATATGAACCATTGCGCAACACAGGGAGACGCAGCTTGGTAATTCCCCCACTAGGCCATGGACCGAGCCCTGAAATGTTTACTTTTGTTGATCCATCTCTGGGAAGTAAGTTGTTTTACCTTTAAAGCTTCTTATTGGCATGTTACTATAAAAGGAATCAAATGTTCCAATTTGCACTTTCTGAGCATTAAGGAGACATTCATGAAAAATGAGGCGCCTTTTTTGCTGTTAGCAGAAGCCATTTTACACAGACAATGAGGCCACAATTGACCAATCAGGAACACTGTATGAAAATGGACCACAGAATCGACTAATCACATTCTCTGTTACAAAGAGAACAATGTCGCAAAATTCGAGGGGAAAACCCACTACGATCGAGCTCTACTTAGTGAAGAAGCAGTCTTATATTGTGGTGTTTAGATCAGTCAGAGAAGGTCCAATTTGGGAAAACTGGAGACTCCAGCAATATAGCAACAAAATTATCATCACCACATCGACAATGGAGAGTCATGGGGATCAAACATTGACGTATGCTGATCTCGCCAAGAGCCTGAATTGCCCGATCTGTCAGGATATACTGAAATCGTTTGACATTCAATCGTGTGACCATACCTACTGCCTGGAATGTGTTGAAAAGCTGGCAGCCATTAACGGTACGTACGTGAGCCATTAAAATGATAATTATGATGATGATGATAATGATTAGGATAAAGATGATTAAGAAACTGATAATAATAGTGGTGATAATGATTATGATAATCATAATCATAATCGTAAAACTAATTTAAACAATTTAAGACCAATCTCCCTTCTTAATTATGAAAACAAGCTTGCTGCACCAGTCCTCACTGAAAAACTACAAAAGGTAATTCCACGTTAATTTCTAATGACTAAGTAGGGCATGTCTTCTCAAATTCCGGACCGCTGGGGAGGCTCTGGGTTTTTTTTGAGAGGGAGGGAGGTTTAACCTTAAAATGGAAGGGGGCAGAAACCACCCTGCCCCTATCTTTGTCGTACCAAATGTATATAATTTCGATCAAAGGGGTATCATGGGTACTGCGTAGTGTCAACAATCACCGTTAATTATTAATCATTCAAAAAACATTTGAGACATGGACTTATTCTTTATGGGATGCTAGTACTCTATCAATATTCCAAAGGGGGCAACACCCCCCCCCCCTTTCATTTTTCTTTTCTGGCAGAGAGAGTACCAAAATAACCCGACCTTTTTATCGTTAAACTGGAACATTTCTCCTTAAATCATTATATACCTAAAAACAAGTCTCATATTCTTCAGCATACAAGTGTCATTTCTGTACATTTGCATTCATGCATTTGTCTTGCAATCACTCCTTTCGTGCCAATGTTTAGGCAGATTATTGCCGGAAAGCAATGCTACTTTTCCCACTGATATAGCTTATATACTTGTGTACCAGAACTCCCACTTTTACTCTTTTAACCCTTTACATTGAAGTACGTGTAAGAACACGAATGTATCATATCACAAACCTATATTATGGAAATAATTGATTAAGTAAAGTAAATTTGCCCATTGTTTCGGACCTTTAAGCTTTCACGGTAATCACATCTGAACCGTCAAGGAAAACGTTTGATATCCCCTGAAGTATAGGGCATATCAAAGGTAGGAGTTTAGCTGAAAATATCAGATTGATTGTAGATATATTTTATTATGTCCAAAATCATTCAAACATAAGGGCTTGCATTCTTATCAGATTTTAGAAAAGCCTTTGACTGATAAAAGTTGGATTTACGCTTTGAATTTTTACGGAGATTTGGTTTTTTAAATGAATTTTGCAATGAAATGTGTCACTACTCTGTACACACATGTAAAAAGCAGTGTTAATTAGGGACTTTTATATTTGCACGTCGACATAGTGAACTGCTACATGTGACGTCTTTTTAAGGCACTGTCAGTGCCTTAAAGGACATCACATTGCCTTAAAGGGACGTTACACGTAGCAGTCCGCTATGTCGGCGTGCAAATCTAAAAGTCCCTAGTGTAAAAAGTTGGTTAACAGAACAAATTAACATACCAAGAGGCGTGCTTCAGGGCTGTCCTTTTATTCATACTCGCTGCCGATGTATTAGCTATCAAGATAAGAAACGATCCAGAAATTAAAGGAATTACAACTTTTTGATTAAGTTGATTTGCAATTTGCAGATTGATGATGACACAAAATCTTTAATATCAAAATATAAAGCAAATGGAACATTTTGGTCTATTTTTCTGGTTAAGAGTTGAATAAATCAAAAATTCCATAGTTAACATCAATGGAGACACCGCCGGTGAAAGCTAACATTTTTTCTGGATCAATTCCGATGTTAAAATAGTAGGGGCTTATTTTGGAAAAAACGAACAAAACCTAATAAATCATAATTGGAAACCAAAAATATCAAAGAAAATATAATACGACCATGGAAAGCAAAACATTTAACATTATTTGGTAAAATATCTATATTCAAACCATGACTTGTACAGTTGACTTACAACATTGTTGGTTTCATCAATTTGCTTGTGCTAATAAAGGTTTGACGTCTAACATCAGATGCTGTCCCTGCCAGAATAAGACCAGTATCCACTCCACGGGCTTGAACGATCCAAATCAGAACTACAAGCTCAAGTGCCTCCTCGAGGAGCAGGCAGCTAATACGAAACAAATTGAAGCTTTGTTCGCCGAGCAGGCAACGAAAACACTGACGATCTGGGTGCGTGACAGGCAAGGCAAGACTGTAACCTTCAACGTTCGCTTGTCAGACACGGCAGACGCCCTCAGGCGACAGACCGAGAAAAAGTTCGGCATCCCAATCCATTTACAGTATATGACTTGGGCGGGCAAGCAGCTGAAAGGCTCAAAGACGCTGGAGGAGTATGGCATGTTGAATGAATCTACCATAAAAGTCGAACGTATTCTCTTAGGATCATGGTAGTCTGCAGGCACAGACCCTAATTTGACACTTAATCCAAAAAAATCATTGTGCCTTGAGAGAAGTCTAGCCCAGCTACCTACTGGTTCCTGTGTCAGGAGCAGCTATGTACAGTACATGGCCTATGGTAGTCTTATAGTGCAGACTCACTTTGACGACTGACCAGGGTTTGTGCTTGCAGACTAGGATCATGGGGCATATAGCATAACCCATTAAGATGAGTCCCCAGCATTTCGTGAAGTGAATTGGTATATAAAACATTAAAACACGCTTGTATGATGCGTTATCGCCAAATGAGGTAATCTTTATTGTGCGAATTTTCAAAACGCAACTCGTAACTTCGTTTGGGAGGTTATACAAAAAACTGAAATATTATAAATATCAATTTTTTTTCCCTTCATAACAAACGCATGTTGTCAAAACTATGATTATGTGCAGTACTTGACAATCTTACATTATACACTCGTTATCTTTTTGTTCCATTTTACGCCCAAAATAGGAAATTAACCGATACATATAAATATTTATAGAGGCGAGCCAGAAAAAAAAGTGTATATTATAGGATTTTCCGGCCAAATTCGCGAGTTTGTCATTTAAATCAATTTGTCTTGCGTTCAAATTCGACGGTTTTAGTGCTGTCAGATAAATCTTGGGGTTATATTCCTTTTTCTAGTTTTCAAATCTATGAAGTTTTCGTTAGAATCTATGTATGTTTCATTCAAATTAATGAATAATGTGCTTCTTTCGCTATTTGGTCATTCGATATGGCGCAACACGATTTCTGACATCGCGAAGGTGTACTTGTTAGCATTCGAATTCATTTGTAGCATTCAAATTAGCACTTTGTGGACTTAAATTGATGGTTAATATACATTTTTAGTTTATTAAACACTTTTTATAGCTCATTCTTTTTCTTTCAAGATTGTTTTTTCATGTGTATTTCATCATATTTCATTTTCTTGCATTTATACACTTATACTTATTAGATTTATTTGATATTCATCAGCATTTAAGTTTGATTGTTAAGAAGAAAAAAACGACTTGCATCTACGAACCTGATGGTCTCAGTATATTTGTAAATGTTCATGTAAGGAAGTTTTTTTTCTTATGTTTCATCATAAATTTATCATAATTTCATCACAATTTCATTATGGAAGAAGGGTACAATATTGTGAATGGGGTAGGGACTAGAGTCAACTATTCGAGCATGATTCATTATTTAGCCATGTCTTTAGCCATCGATCTGCTGGCGGGAAAGTAAACTATGAAACTCTTTAAGAAAAACAGAGGGGTGTGCTGGGTATAAGAGACGATGTGAATTACTTTTGTAAAATTCTCAGTCTGTAGTAAAAAAAAAAAAAAAAAAAGGGGGGGCGATTGAGGGTACCCCCACCTTTCCCAGGTATATGAACATGTCCGTGCAGAAAAGCCATATCCCTTGATTTCGCCCCTTCTTTACTTTATGTCTGACTACACCCATCTGCATTGTCCTGAAAATAAATAAATGGAAAAACAGCTTAGACCCCAATGGCAAATCATGCATTTTAACTGCATTATTTAAAAACTGTAAAAGTTTGTTGCAATTCTTCCCCCTAACATTCCTAACTTGATTTAAAATATTACGAATACGAATGACAGGTGTTAATTTGAATGATACAAATTACGCTTCGACAAGTGAATATTAATTTGAATGCTAGTTGAGCAGTTTCTAAATTGAATGACAGATCTATGAAATCCTTCGACCCAAATCCTAAATTAAATACAACAACTGGAAAATTGACTGATAATTGGCATGGCGAAGCCGATCTGCGCTAACTTAAATGCAAAGTAAATGAATTCGAATGACAAACTCGCGAATTTGGCCGGGAAATCCTATACTTTTAGATTTATCTGATATTCATCATCCTTTAAGTTTGATTGTTTAGAAGAAAAAAAAAGACTTACATGTACGGACTTGATGGTCTCAATATTTTTGTACATTTTCATGTATGGAAGTTGTTTGTCTTGTGTTTCATCATAACATTATCACTATTTCATTATGGAGGAATGGTACAATATTGTGACTGGGGTAGGTATTTTTGTGTCCCCACTTTTCCGGGGGTATATGAACATGTCCGTGCAGAAATGCCATTTCCCTTGATTTCGCCCCTTCTTTTTTTTTTTTTTGTAGATAGGTTTTATTTGCAATTCACATTGTCTCAAAAGATAATCTCAAAATAAATACATATTCTTTTTTCTTCAATGATACAGAGACATGATTGAATAAAATGGAACATCTCATAAAATAACATTCAGTAAGATTTCAATTATACTATACAGATACTATTCCATTTTTTCTTATGGAATTCAAAACGGTTGAGTTTAAATGATATTATGCGTTCTGTTTTTTCTAATTGTATTACAGAGCATAGGAAGGATTTGAATAAAGGAACGATGTCTTGACATTTACATGAAAAGATAAAATATTTGCCATATAATATCATAGTGTTTACCAGATAGAAGTGTTCTCTAACTAATGTTCCAAAGCAAATTTCTATACGTGATAATCTAATGAGTCGGATCTTTTTAGAAATCAGCCAACTGTGCAGATCATTCCAGAATCTTGAGACAAAGAGGCAATCAAAAAATAAATGCATTATGGTTTGTTCATTTTGATTACAAAATTTACATATATTTTGATCAAAAATTCCGATTTTATACAAAAAGGAATTCGTAGCAATTTTTCTATGAATAAATTTGAATTGAAAATTTCTCAATTTGTTATCTATTGATGATTTATATATTAAATTAAAACGAGACCTCCATATTTCGTCATCCGATAATTGTAGTGTCAGATCATTTTCCCATTTGAGTTGTTGATCTGTTTCTGACAAAGCAATAGTATAACTACGTATACAAGTAGAGTAACATAGTTTAGAAACTTTTTTGTGTTTAAGGAAATTGTGTAATCGATCATCATGTGGTTCATTTAATTCATTTTGTTCTATAGTTTGGTTCCTTATTTCCCTTTTCCATTCATTTGGGATAGCAGATATAAGCGAATTGTATACCATAATAGGTACATAACCATATTTCTGAATAATAACTTCAAAAGTTTTAAAATGACCGTCTCGTGTAAAAATATCAGATATGTTAATCAAGGATGAATCAAACCATATTTTAACATATATTGGTTTTCCATCAACTAAAATGTGAGAATTGAACCTCAGAGGTTGGGATAGTATTTCCTTAAACTTAACAGGGTTGTAGTATTTGTAATATGACCATGAAATTAAAACATAATTCCAAAAAGACTCAATATTTGGATTAAAGGTAAAATGACTCTGGCACAAGTTCCATAAAATAAAGTTTTCCTCGCCAATGTAACGAAGGGACTGTTTGAAAAAACACTTCCATTTTCCGTTATTTTCTTCATCTAAGAATCGTTTGATCCATGCAATTTTCATTGCTCGATTAAAACATAACAAATGTGGCATTTTTAGACCACCATCATTGTAGTCATTGTATAACAAAGAACGTTTAATTTTATCAACTTTTGTACTCCATAAAAATTTAAACAACAACTGTTGATATACAGTAGGTTTGCGGTTGCACCATGTGTGTGAGAGAGAGAGAGAGAGAGGTTTGAGGAGTCCTGAAAAGGACTCTGACTCGGTAATCTTTCTTGGAGGAGTGTAGTCCTGAAAAGGACTGTTTGTTATCTTTCTTAGCATATAGTTCTCAGGAGAACTATAGCGCTTGGAGAGGATGAGTGGCTCGACGTTTCGAACAGGTTGACTATCCGTCGTCAGGGGATAGTCAACCTGTTCGAAACGTCGAGCCACTCATCCTCTCCAAGCGCTATAGTTCTCCTGAGAACTATATGCATGCTAAGAAAGATAACAAACAGTCCTTTTCAGGACTACACTCCTCCAAGAAAGATTACCGAGTCAGAGTCCTTTTCAGGACTCCTCAAACCTCTCTCTCTCTCTCACACACATGGTGCAACCGCAAACCTACTGTATATCTACATCACCATGCAAGCCGACACTTACAAGCAGCATCTAACAACTGTTGAATTTCGTTAAAAAATGTAACTGGTGGGTTTGAGACAATACATAACAGATAGTTCAGTTTAGGAATGATCAATGTTTTGATTACTACAATCTTTCCATATAGTGTAAGTGATCTGCCATTCCAAATATTCAAAAGAGACTTTATTTCATCCAGTTTTGGAACAAAATTTAGGTTGAAGAGATTATAGTTATTATTCAATGGAATATTTATGCATAAGTATAAAAAGTAATCTGTAGGCCATTTAAAAGGAATGTTTTGGCACATAGGCATTGTACAGTTTCCAAGTCTTATAACATTACACTTTTCAACATTAACTTTTAAACCAGACATTTCTTTAAAGGTATTTAATACAGAAATACATTTTCTTAAATTTTGTTCGCTGGGTTCAAGGAAGATAGTTGTATCATCTGCATATTGACTTATTTTGACTTCGGTATGATTATATATTTTTAGACCGTGAATTTCTTGATTTTGACGAACTAAACAACCCAAAATTTCAACAACTAAAATGAAGAGGTACGGCGAGAGAGGGCAGCCTTGTCTTACTCCTCGATGTATTTTAAAAGAATTTGACGAATATCCATTATTTATTACACAGCCTTCAATATCGACATAAAGAAGTTGAGCCCAGCGAACAAATTGTTCCTTGAAACCGAATCTTCGTAAAGTCTTGTATATAAAGGACCATTCGACCGTGTCGAATGCCTTTTCAAAATCAATACAGAGTGCAAGGCCACCAATGTTATGCATCTTACAGTAACTTTGCATATCAAAAAAAAGTCTAATATTTTCGCCAATAAACCGTCCTTTGAGAAAACCGCATTGATCATGACTTATGAGAGGTGATAGAGTCTTTTTCATTCGAAGAGAGATAATTTTTGCGAGAATTTTATAATCATTGTTTAATAAAGAGATTGGTCGCCAATTTTTCAAAAATAACAGGTTCT